AAGGGCAGGACATACTCTTCATTGCATTTGATGACTTTCCATAGCTGTTTAAAGCAGAATGAAGACGACACAATTTAATAAGCTTAGTAAGTTGCCACTCACAGCTAAGACATCTTAACTGGCTTCATGCATGTTCTTGAAGCAATTTATGCTTTTATAAAGTAATTTGATACAGTTTAAACACCAGCTAAAGTGCTTTAAGCAAGCGTGCCTACCTCACTATTTGGGTGTGCAAAGAGCACACATACAGAGTTACTGAGACTCAGCTGACATGGGGTAATCATGTTTGCTCATACAGTCTTATACCAAGACTGTGAACTTGCTTGTAATGACTCACTGTGGCTGAGAATCTGCCCCAGCATGTTCTAAGTTGATTAAACTAGTTTGCAGGCCATAATTATTTTCTATATCATAGTATAATGGATTCACATCATATTATTTTTAACACTGTAAGAATTTGCTTCTGGGAATGGCCTTCTTAAATTAATCACTGACTCATGATTTACTGTAGGAGATAATATCTAACCTACAAGAAGCAGAACAGGAAACTATCTATTTAAAAGATGGCAGTGTCTGACAATTTATGACTATAGACAAAGAGACATCTGAAAAGAAAAAGAAAGCCAGATCCTTCAGTCTTTATGTGGTCACTGCTCTCACTAAAGCAAGAAGGAACTTTTGTCTAAGAACAGGAGGGCCTGTATTTGAGGCAGTGACAGATGAAAATTGACAAATACTGGGGGGGGGGGGAAATGAGTGAGCAATGAGAAAACTGTCTCAAGTTGTCTTTAAAGCTGTCTCTGGCTCTTAGACCAAACCCCGTAGTAAAATAAGTCCAGTTAAACATCATGACTATTCTAAGTATTTCACCAGCTTAATATGGGAAAAATAAGAAAACCAGGGAAAAACATCAGTCTTTTTGTGTTTGACTCTTTTATCCAAGTGTCTTCTCTCTATCTCCTCACTGTTGTGCTTGAACTGTTGTGTTCTTCTGATTACATCAGTGAATTAGCCTTGACCATTAGAAGTTTTAACTATTAGATTAGATAAAAGTCAGTTTCAGCAGTCAACAACAACAAAAACAACAAAAAGAAAACCACAAGAAAAATAATCCTGCCTTCTGGAGCATGTTTCAGGAGGTTAGACTTCAACCTGAAAACATAAAGAATCTTTCCTTTCGCTCATTTCAGCATCAATCTAATCTGTGATTTTGGTAACTCTCATAACCTTTGGCACCATAGTTTTTGGACTCGAAAAAGCAAGCAGTTATCACTGAGTGTGTGAGCTCTTTAGGAGCTGTGAATGAAACATTTTCCTCTTCCACATTCTGAAGAAGAGCAGCAGCATGCAACAGGGCAGTGACTGTTTCAGGTAGCTGAGTGCTCCATGGGAGCAGTGTGACCTTCCTCCCCAGGGACTTTTGACACTTCTGCCCAAGCTAAATCACTTGGGGATCACTAGTGGCATAACTGCTGTGCTGCACACTGAGTTCAGTGCAAGTTGCAGGAGGACACAACCACTCCACCATTATCTGCAGACTTGAAGAATCTCTTATTTCAGTTTATTCGAGTCATGCTTAGTTAAAAGCCACCAGACCATGGAGACACCCCCTTTCCTGCAGTTCCTTCCAGAGGCTGTCTTGCAAATGGCCTTTAGGTGTCTTGGCACTGTCACCTCAAATGCTAGCCTCAGTCAACCGCTTGAACCAAACTAGACACTTAGCACTGACGCTGGAGAAATCAGAGACAGCAATTAAAAGCAAAAGTCACATTTGCTGGAAAGAGTTTAATGTCCTCAGTGTCTTTGCAAATACAACCTTTATATGCTGGGCTGTCAGAAAGAGACCTACTTACAGTTGGTAAGCACTCCCAAATTTTAGTCCTAATACCACCTACAGAGCTGCATCATTAGAACCATTCACAATGGAGACGACTCTGTCAGGACTCTAGTGAGCCTGCCTTCCAACTGCTGTGGATAGGCCCCTTTGAATCTGCATTGAGACAGCTTTCCAGAAACGATACTAACAGTTTTGAGTAGCCTTAAGGAATTACAAGAACACCTCATAACTCAACGTAAATGCCAGAGACTTCCAGGGAAGCTACATTAGTATATAATGTACCAAGCTGCACAGTACTCTGACTACAAAACAGGTCTACTCCTGGCCCATCATCTGTTGAGGTTTGAGACCCCAAGCATGAGGGCAAGTAGCTTATTATACAAGTTACATCACATGCAAGTTCTCCTCCTGTTTGATTCTTTAAAATTACTAATATTTCCATTTGTGACTATGCTCAAGACAAAGTGTAGTATTGCCTTATCAGTGTCTCTTGAAGTAAGTTCTGCCCAGGACAGCACTTTTAAAACCCAGAATTGATTTCCCCACACAGTCCTGTTCTACCGGTTCTTTTTTCCCTACATTTGCTGACTAATGTACTCTCATTCCTCAGCACCAGTGTTGTAGCCATGTTTGGTATTTACATCTCTTTCCTGTTTATTTTGTAGGTCACTACAGCATCAACAATTCCTTATCAAATTGTCTCCCAAGGGTATAAATCTTGCTTCAAGTCAAAGATCTCCAACTGACAAGGGCAGATAAATATGCTACAGAACTTGCAAACTACTGGCCACATAAGCCTACCAAGGAAGCAAAGAGAACTCATTTCATATTAGTCCAACTCTGGAAAACAAGCCACTTTCACATGAACGGGAAACTATGTCAGAACAGAGCAATCCTACAGTGTCCCATTGTATCACCTGGTCCAATTTGGCCAGTTATTTCCACACGTTTGCAGGAACTGGCTTAGAGATGGAAGGGCTACAGTACATTGCCTTGAAGAAGACTGTGGGCTGATAATGCCCTGGAGCAGTGTATCGGAGGTAGCAGTATCAGATGATCTTTCAGACATTTACAAACAGTAATTAAGTACTGCACCACCTTTGTGATGTAGGGGTAATTTCTCACCCCCCATTTTACAAAGCAAGAAGCCAGAGCACACATGACCTGGAAAAAACCTTCTGCTCTCATATCCCAGTCTGGGGCTTTTACACTAGGCTGTGTTTCTTTTCCATAGCCAATGCCCTAAACTTACCCCTGAAAAAACACGCTGAACATAAGGGGTCAAATCTGGGAACCACCAAGCAAGAACAGTGAGGGCTGCTCACAGCAGTATTGCATCTCAGGGAGCCTAATGGGTAAATATTGGCCATTTCCCCAGCTCCTCCTAGGGCTGGGAATTAGAGCTGGAAGGAGGCTTGTAAAACTCTCAAGTACTTCCTTCAAGTCAGAACTGCCATTCCCACGTATCACATCCTACCCCTTTCAAAGGGATTAAAGCCATGGAAGGAAACTCCCTTCTCCAAAGCCCTCTGTTCCCTTCATAATACTTATGAGAAGACAAATAAATCTGCCTATCAGCAAATCACTCAAGTAAATTTATTGTCACCATGCAGTGACTTTGCCTGGCCTTAGATTAAGATCAACAATAAATTCCTGACCACAAAGACATGAAAAAGCCCACAACTCTCCTTACTCAACAAGTATATCTTCACTACATCTCTCAGCAGTTGTATCTTTTAGCAAAGGTTTTGTAAAAGGATTGGAAAGCTGCAGGGTGGGAGGGAAGCAATGCCAAGTAGTGTTTGATAAAGAGAGAGGGCTAGAGGAAAGGACAAATTAACTATGAGAAGTGAAGATCGCTGCTCCATAACATAGGAAAGTACAAAAACATTTCACACCCACCTGCTCGCATTAAAGCTTGCAGCCTCTCCTGTTTCAATCATTGGGAGAGAATGAGAGGAACTCCCTGTTGGAGTCATTTGGCATTGCTGCTTTGGCTTTAGTGCTATTTTGCTTTGGAGCAGCTGAGCATCAGGTCTCTGCAGAAGCTGAATTGCTGACAAGGTTTTATATTTTACCGTAAATAAAGTGAGCTCACTGTGGCATTGCAATTGGACCCTTCTCCTCCCCCCCCCCCCCCCCCCCCCCCCCCTTTCTCCCAGATCATTTCCCAGGGATTTTAGTTGAAGAAATTAAGTATTGACCTCCTCAAGGTATCTGTGTCATTGATCATCTCCGAACATACTGTGTGGGTGTCCTAACAAAACACAGGATTCTGTTTTTCCCTTCACAGCAATGGAGAATCATACCACACACTGAGATCCTCAGCTGTTTGATCAATGATACAAGGAATGAATAAGCATGAATAAAGGCATAGAAACTGGATGCAATTTGTACAAATGAGCAGCAGAGCCCTTCACCCAGCATCGAGGACACCAGAGCTCTTGCAAAATGAAGCTCACATACTGCCATGTTTCTCTTTTCTTAACGCATCTCTGCCACTGCAGGTGCTTATTCACCCAGAGCTGGGAAGTATTCCTTCATCTGTGAACAGAAGTGGGTCCCAGTGCTGCAAGCTGGTGCGCAGCACTGCGCACCAGAGTCAAGTTCCTCAAACAGGACTGCTTTCAAACTCTGCAGCATACTTACTCACAATAAACAGTGCTGTCCTCAGCCTGATAGTACAGCAGCTGATCTGCAGTACATGGTGCTGCACATTGGAAGATGATCATAAGCTGAAGTTGACTTAAAAGCCTCTAATTTCCTTGATATTGAATAATCGCTACAACTAATGGGAGTTGCAAAAAGCTCCTCTTAGTGCTCCTATAAACTAAAAGAGAGGTGCTGCAGGCTGATCATGCCCATAAAAACATTGCCCTGGGAGGGGAGTATTTTCTTATCAGCATCTAAATATATGAAAACAGTGCAGACAAATCCTACACTTCTGCTGTGTGCTCGTTCAAGGGATGGACACTTCGGGTTGTCACACAGCATCAGGCTTTGGTGCACAATACCTGCACAGAATGCATATCATACTTCCGTGGTGCGAGTTGCTTGCATGTATAGACACCCTCCACCACATACCCCACTATGTTTTACAAGCCTTTTTGAGCATTTCTGACTCAAATCAGCACAAGCCAGCTGCTGAATATCCAGAGCAGACGCTGCTCCAGAGGAAGCTTCTCTCATTTACCAGTCAGTGTAGGGCCTTTGCAAAACACAAGTAGGTTCATACTTTCACACGACCTTTGTTCACTTAGAGATGGATTGCCTTCGTCACTTGTATCTTCATCTTCAAAAGGAACTGGTGGGCTCCAGGCAAAGAGTCAAGAATGCTTTCACACATATCTGGGAGCTGCTTTACGCAACCTCTACAGCAACTCACATTTGCTGGAAGGGATGAATGATACCAATCAGCAAAATACCCATCCTCCCTGTGATGGCAGAGGGCAGTGACAGTACTTGTTCTGACACTGGCATGAAGTAACCAGCATTTCCCTGCATGCAATACGGTTACTATAATTAAAAACCTGACAAATTGAGGCTAACCTAGAACCTGCACCGGAAAAGTACATGTACATCTTAGCCACCTTTCCGCAAGCAGAGGAAGTCATTTGAATAGTGCAGATGAGCTCAGCTCCAGTCTGGACTGTTCTTACCCTGCAAAACTTAAGAAAGTCTTGTGGAACAGTGTGAAGTGGACCCTTGTACAATCCAGCAAGACTCCACATTTTTGTGCTGGGAGCCCAGTTACCAACAACACAGTTTTTGCTGTTTTTAATCAGAAGTAATACTACTGGAGTCCACAGAGTTAGACTTGTGCAACTGTGTGGGGAATCAGATGGGTGACAGTGACTTTATTTATACCAGCAGGGAGTTAGCTCTGAAACTAAGACATTCAGTGCAACTAATTGAGAGATTAGCAGTCAGCAAGAGCCCATGGCATTGCATACACACACCAGAAAAAAAATCTCCAAACAACTAAAACCAACAAAGCTGCAGCCTTTCTAAATCCATACTGCTCCCTCTGAAGGCATGGAAAACACTGTTTTTCCCCCTTCCACCTACCCTCTTGTCTAGCGTGCTCCCCTCCCACAGGCAGCAGTGGACCTCTGCTCTTACCTTGTCCAGCAGCCCAGCTGGATCCAACCCACCCGCAGCAACCAGCCATGGGGGCGCCCAGCACAGGCAGTCCTACTACAGAGGTCTTCCCAAGAGGAGCAGAGCCTGTTCCTGCCCCTACTCCATGGTCTGGGACGTTGAGGGGACCTGTTGACTTTGCAGCCATCTGTTCCAAGTAGTGTGGTATTCTTGGTGTGCCTGTTTTCTTTTTATCTCAAGCTTAAATTTGGCAGTCCTTACAGTAGCAGGACTGTAGGTAGGCACAGCCCTACAGAACTGATACTGAATGAGAGAAGTCCTGCTGAAGATGGAGTCTGAAGTATGAAGATGAAGGAGTGCAGAGTGCTGAGAGAGATCTTCAGTGGCAGATAAGTCTTTGGGCTTACCTGAATCTCATTTCAAAGGCCCTCCTCATCACGATAACAGCAATTAAGTAATCCAAAATTCTCCAGGCTGACACACTTCAACATCTCAAAACCCCCGTTCCAGTGGGTGTAGAGCTCCTCTCTCTTCTGTGATTGAAGGATTCACATGCCTTTTACTTTGACGCAGATGGGAAAAATCAGAGGATTAAAAAGGGAAAAAAAAAGTTTTCACTTTTCAGTCATTTAAGGATTATTGAGAAAATGGAGGCCTCTGCTTCCTGTTTTTTTTTTTCTTGTTGTTGTTGTTGTTGTCCTTTTTTTTAACCTGAGGCAGCTGCAGATATATTTTTAGCACAGGAGACCCAGAGGTGTTAAGAGGCAGCAGGTGTGAGGAGTTTGGGCAGCACAACACCGGTGGAGGAAGGTATAGAGCTGCTACCCATAACACTGCCTGGCCCAGAGGATCAAGGGTGGGATGCTGATCCTATGAGCAGAAGTATAACCAGGCTTTTTTTTTTTTTTTTTTTCCTTAAAATTTTAGCAAACCTGTGAAACGTAACCCCTTTGAGCCTTCCTTCCTCCATCAGAAGGATGTGTCCAGGACTACCCCGTTTCCTCCACCTGCCCTCAGTAGCACAGCAGTGCGTGAGCAGCTGCTGAAACAGAACCAGGAGGGAGAGCAGAGCCCATCTTGCAGAAGGGAAGGGAGGGTTCAAGAGGAATCCAGGCACAGACCTGTGTGCACAAAGAGAGCCAAGGCTGTTTAGAATGACAGACTTCTTGTGCTGTTAAAAAACATGTGGTGCAAAACCCACATGGAGTCCTTCCTGTTCCTCTGAGGTTCTCTCCCTGCCCTGGCTTCTCTCCAGCCCTTCCTGACTCAGACCTCCAGAGCCAAGTTAAAACAGTTTGTATTCTGTCTCTGAACCTTTATTACTATGGAATATCCAAAGCAACAAAACCAACAACACAGTTACAAAAGGAGTTCACAGAGAAATGTGAAGCAGCCTGTGTTTGAAATGCTCTGTGTCACTGCACTGAGTCAAATATAAAACAATGCATATTTATACACATATAAAATATAAAACGAACGATACATTAGAAATGTATAAACGGGAGGCCACGGAGGCCTTGGTGGTATTTACAGAGAGATGGTGGTGGAGGGCATGGAAGCAGGCAATGTCCATTTAACTGAGTTTTAAACATATCTATGAAAATCTCTGCAGACAGAGAAGCTTAGAGCCAGGCTTAGCCCTGCTGGAAATGGTTGGAGGCTTCTGTGGGACTGATGGGCTGGGAGAAAGCCAGAGCCCACAGCTGGATCGGCCTTGGACTGAGGCAGATGGTGAGCAGAGACTGTCCTCACTGCTGCCCAGAGCTAGCAGCCATGTTAGCTCAGCTGCACCTTCCCAGCTTGAACAGAAGGTCAGGCCTGTCTCCAGAAGGGAACAAAATAAAATAATAAATTCAATAGAGAGAAGTTCTGCGTTCACTTCAGTAACAGATCTTCCAGCTGTCTCCAGCCCAGCAGCGCAAGGCCCCACCCCACTGGCAGTTTTCAAGTAGAGGCGGGATGAGGTGGGATACTGGGCTGAGCTCTGTTGGGTCACGTGCTGGTTGGTAGAGAAGTCCCAGTAAGTGCTGACTGCGGCTTCTTATAGCTCCTTGAGAATGACCTGGATCTTGTCCTCCGCTTCCACCATGTCCAGGAGAAAGGCCATATGGTTGCTGTAGTGCTGGATGATGTTATTGTCCATGTTGACCAGGATCCTACAGGACAGGGAGAGCAGTCGGGTCAGACACTGTGTGTTGCAAGGCTTGGGGTGCAGCTTAACCTGGAGGATTTGACAGCACCACATGCTCTGGGTCCCCACTTGTAAATGCACCACAGACAAAGTCTCATGGCACAGGGCAGCCCTCTCCAAGCAGATGTTACCAACAGCATGGAGAAGAAACTTCTGATTCTCCCCTCCCCACCTTGCAGCTGCCTACAAGCCTCACTTTAGCTCTGGGAACAAATAGGTCCTGTGGGGGATCAAGTCATAGTGACACCAAATGTGCTGGAAGATCACATCCAGGGAGCTTTAGGACCTTCTCATCTCATGAAATCAGAAACTGAATGAAGAAGCAGAGCTTTAGTCCAATCCTCAGCTTCCCCTGGCTTCTGCTCCCCTGTGTTTTTATGTGGAGCACCACTCTGCTGGCTGTGCTAGTGAGAATGTAGGACTGCATAATGCAGGACCTGTCATCGGCCTTTCTTTTCTACCAGTCTCTCCCCACACTCAAAACTGGGATCAGGGCCAGTAACAAAATGAGTTCATTTCACAGGCAGTCACTGGTGCTTGCAAAGCCTGATTGTATACCGCTTGCTCTGCAAGAAAGACTCTGGACTTAGCTTTATGGAAATAACTTGGAAATTTATGAGCCCTTCTCTTTCCAACAGCTGGAAGGAGAACTTGCTGCCAGAGAGGGGGATAGCCCAGGAGTTGTTTTCTGGACTGAAGAACATCTCTTAAAGTAGCACCTGGCCCTACATCAAGACTGCTGCCTTCCACAGAAGATTCAGCTGCTGATCCTCTGCTCATTCAAGCCAACATCACTCTCTCTCAGCCACGTATGTTGTCCATATTGACCAGTCAATAATAAAGATCACAGTGGAATCATTTGAGAAATTTCATATTTACTGCAAACCTCTGTCCATGCCCTGAAAAGCTGTAATGGTCCCCCAGTAACACCTGACAAGTGTCCATAGTGGGACCTGCAGCGCTGCACTTGGGCTGCAGGAGAGCCCCATGTGTGCAGGAGGGTCTGATCCACCTCCTAAAGTCAAAGTGGAGTTTCCTGCTGACCTCCTTGGTCTGGGGATAGGATGGGAAAGCTGGGAATGGGCACTCCTCTTTTAGAGCTCTCCAGTTATCTATTGGGGCTTTTACTTAACAGGTATGATCTTTCTCTGGGACAGGGACACTCAGGTATTCGGTTTGAAGAGGCAAAGATTTATACATCTCTGATGACAGTAAGATAAGTACTCTAAATCCTCCAACTTTCAGACTGAGACATAAGGGATCACCCATTAAACTCCCCCAACATTCCTCCTTCATCCATCTGCCTTTCCTTGGGAGCCTTTACACTCCATACAAATATAATACAAACAACCACTATCCCAAATCTTTAAAGCCCCCAAGGATCCGAGTCTTATATGTTCCAAGTAGTGCAGACCTCACATGGCTTTCCTTTTTATTGTCTTGCTAAAATGCTATTTCAGCCTATGGCAGGGTACCAAAGAGAATGGGGTCGTAGAAGTGCAGCATAAAAGCAGATGAGAGATTAGCTTACCCTCTTTTGCATTTTTTGTAGACTTTATAAATGCTTTCTTCAGGCAGCCCATATTTTTCTGAAATCTGCAAGAGAAAACACAGCAATTCTTGGTACTTGTAAAATGAAATTCCTATGATAAACATCAAAGATAACACTGAGCCAGAGGTATTCAGCAGCAAAGGATTACCCCTCCCTTTTTACTGAAGAAAAAAAGGCTGAAGCAATGGTTTGAACAGGACAATTTGAGCATGGTTCTGTCTAGAGCTGGTCTGCATGCTCTGATGGGAGCCGTGCAGTTTTCTCCCAGCTGTTTTCAGTAGCAGCTTTTGTCCGTCTGTGGTGAGGTAATGAGGGAGGGAAAAGATGGCAAAGAATCTTCTGAGTCCTCTGACTCGTCTGTGCTGACATTTCTCAGACTATTTTTAAAAGGTTGTAAAAACCAACAAAGCCTGAAGTGCAGTTGTAAAGCTATCCCCAGTCCAGGATATTGTTTGTTTTGTTCTTAGTAAGCCCCGGAGAGAGGTAGGTTATCAGGGACGTTGCTGATGGTCACCACAGAAATACGGCTGTGTGCTCCCCAAACACTGCACAAAGAATTTCAGCACAAGGCCAGGGCTGCCTTCACATTGCACATATGTGGCCAGCATGAGAAAGGAGCTTTACAATTGGATTTGCTGTCACAAGATGACGCTTCGATGATGCTCTGAACAGAACACAGAATCATAGAACCATTGAGTTCAGAATCATAGAACCATTGAGTTGGAGGGGATTCTTAGAGGCCATCTGGTCTCACTCCCTGCAATGAACAGGAATGCCCCCACTTCATCAGTGCTCAGAGCCCCATCCATCTTGCCATATGGTGTGTTCTTCCCTTCTGTGGCACACCGCATAACAAGCATTTCTGGGTAGACTTCACCTGTCCTCACAGTTTCCATTTCCATTCTCAAAAGAAAGCAGACGAGATATAAACAGCCTTATATCCACTTTTCTATATGCCAAGTGCCAACACCCTACGTTCTGTGGTTCGTTCATATGCCACATATGTGTTTTGAGAAACACTCACAGCCATTCTGAGGCCCTGGAGATCCGGTGTCTTCAACATGAGAGCATCAAACACTTCCTCTGATTCCCTCCGCACGTACAACAGCACTGAAATGAATAAAGCACAGCACTGAGTCAGGGCTTTTCACAGAGTGATATGGCCTCACATGCTTCAAGATCCAGAGCTACTTTAGTCTATAGAAACATCACATTCAAGAAGAGTTCCCACTCCAAGGCTTACCTCTCTGAGGATCTTCGTCCTTCTTTTGCTTTGGAGGTGCTGGGTCAAATTCATCTGTGAATGAGGCCCCACTCCTCTTTAGGGGCAGCCTGAGAAAGAGGAACACGGTGCTCTCAAGAGGACAGAACAATATAGCAGCAAACAAAAAGCAGTTTGACTTTTGACTGAAAAACTGATTATCCCAATAAACACCCAGCAGTTAAATATCGGTTCTGTAATTTCAGCCACAGAGTATCTCCGGATCTGCAACTTCTTGCCTAATGCACACGGCACATCAGTGAATGTGGGCACTGGTTTTGGTACCATGTAATTAAAAAAGCGTTTTCTGTCTCCATGTCCTCATTGCTCTGTTGGTATCACCAGATACTGGATCAAGCCAGGGGATAAATTCCTGCTTCTCCCCACACTAAGCTCATTACAAGTGCAATTTCTCCTTCATTCAAGTTTCTTTTATAGCAGTGAAAAGATGATGAGAACACTTAAGTGATCATTCTATGAATTATTTTTTTTGCCTCTTTTCAAATTTGGTCTCAGTAAGAGCAGCGGCCAGACACCTGGCGGAGGGGCTCACTGACAGGGAGGAAAGTAGTGTCCTCTTAGTACCTTCTAAGCCAAACTTTAACACATATTTTGACACTCAAGGGCTTCAGGGAGATACCGTGCTTTTATTTTACATCTACAGTACTACAGATATTAATTTGCCATAATATGCCCAGAGAAATAGAACAGCTGATGGATGGAAAATACAGACTGCTGCATTCTTACCTGTTTGCAGAGTTGGGAACAGCAGGAGTAAGAGCCTTGAAACAAAAAGGAAACATTGATCATTTAGTTTGTGGTGTCGGGAAACAACAAAACTGGCGGGGAACACAAGGGCACATACTTAATGTGATTCCTTCTCCCAGTTCATCCATTTTTCCTTGAGAACACAGTTAAACTCCATGGGCATCTTGGATTAAATGAAAACTGAGATAAAGAAGTCTCTAGACTCCCCTCCTCTGCCTAGAAGAAGCCTGAACACATATCTGACTACATCAAAAAGCAGCTCAAATCCCATAACCTGCTTGGGGTCAAGGACCAACTGTTCTTCAGCAAGGTCTTCGGTTGCACACTACATTCTGCCAGTACCTGTTTTTGCTGTGATGCATCAGTACAGCAGCCACTACAGTGCTGTCACAGGTGACTTTTCTCCCTTCTTTTGACAAACCAACATCTGTTTCATAAGGAAATGGTGATGAGCTCTGGAGGAGGCTGTGTCTAAGATGTCTCAGGCTCAAGGGCAGATAGAAGGGCAGAGGAGCAGTAAGAGATGTCTCCTGCACAGGGTCAGATGTGGCTGTATTTTTCTACAGTTTACTTTCTGCCAATATTTCTCCCACCACTCTCGTCCTCTGTGGCTCCAGATGAAATGTGTAAACCACAGGACTATCTGCAAGGAACACAGAAAAGTCATCCTGCCCATCACTGCTGCATGGCATCTAGGCCACTCCTGACAGCTGCATCTTCAAGTTCACCACATTTCCACAGAGGAGCTGTGGTTTGGTTTTCTTTTTTTACATAACACAAGTCATGCTGGGGAGTCTGATCAGGTTGGAAATGATGGGGGTGATGAGAGCAACAGGTTGGCTGTTCTGCAAAGGGACTTACCGTGCCACATCTCTGCTGGTTTGAAAAATGGAGATTGGGGATGAACAGGACTGGCTGGGTTTCAAGGTCAGTCTCTGACCTCAGGAGTGTGATCTCATTCCCTCTGAAGCCAGACAGCACACAGCCTTTCAGACCTACAGATGGAAAGTGCAATTCACTTCAGTCCAGGCACTTAAGGGGTGACTACATGCAAGTGGGAAAGTGCCTGTTCAACATCACTCAACAGAAATATTAGAAAATGGATGGATCCCAAGAGACCCAGGTCTTCAGGGCCTGCTCTCTATCATCTCCTCCAGGACTGCTCTCTTCCACGATCCCATGGCAATTCAGAAGGATTGGTTAGTATCAATAATGGGCTTTGACAGTCTTGGGAGGAGGAGACCTGACTGACAAGTTGTTTCTGAATGGGGCTGATTTCATCAGACATGGCAATACTCAGGGCCAGATCTCATGGAAGTTAACAGATAGGCTACCACGGATCAGGTGACAAACATCACACTAACCATTGTTATTGGAGTCCAGGCATTTTCCTTTCCTTCTGAACTGTTTCCGTTCATCATCCCTCATTTTCCTCTCTGCTCCCTGTGGGAAACATGAGGCAAAAATCAGGACACTGATAGCTTTAACGTAACGTTGGCAGTAGAGGGTTTACTAACAAGAACATGAAGGTGAATCACAGAATGGCTGAGGCTGGAGGGGACCTGCCATGGGCTGGGTGCCCCCACCAACCCAGGTTGCCCAGGGCTCCATCCCACCTGGCCTTGGGCACCTCCAGGGATGGGGGCACCCACAGTTCTGGGCAGCAGTGCCAGTGCCTTGCCGCCCTAAAGACAGCCTTTATTAAAAGTGAGGAGGTTGTCTCATCTCAGAGACTTCCTAAAGGCCATCCAGAAAAAGAACTGAACTTTCTCATATTTGTAATTATTTTATTTTTAAATGTTTTTAGAAACAAAAAATGCAGACAAAAATAGCTGTGAGAAATGTTTCAATGGAAGTATGCCTGAGGCTGGGAAAGAACCTGAGAGGAGATTCTCATCTCTTCTTCTATTTAAAAACTTGTCAGAATAGGAGAATTAATTAAAAGGTACAATCCCATGCAGGCCTGAAATGGAGAAAACTTACTTAAGGCTCTGTTCTACAAAGGTCTTGGTGGCGCAGACACATTCTGGCTGCCTTGTCTTGCTCAACCAAGTGTGCTGAGCCATCAGTGCTCCTCCACACTGCCTGCTGCACTGTTTGGCCTCTCACAATGCCTCTTTTTCACCTCCTGGGGTTTAATGTTTCTCTCAGCCAAGTTGGCGGAAGAGAAGTTTTGTACCTTATCACAGAATATCTTGATTTGGCAGACAGCACGGTGCACCAGCTGATTGGTCCCATTGCCATAGTCGTAAGTGTCAATCTGGAGGTTCAGTGGGACACCTTTCACTCCTTTCTGAGAGGAGAAGTCAGTGCTCAGGCAATTCACCCCAATAAACACCTGCAGATAGGAACAGAAATGGCTACAGCTTGTCGGCACTGAAAACATCCTCAAACATCCATCAGAAGTTTGATGGAATAAAAGGAGCTCACGAGACAAACCTCAACGTTCCTGTCCTTAGCTGTACATGTAGGTTGTGGTTCCCCACAGCTGAGCACAGCTGTGGGTTGTTTCTAACTACATTCTTCCCCATCACCCACAGCAGCAATCCAGAGAAAGAGTTTTGCACAAATAGCTCATAAATCCCCAGTTGTCTGCTGCTCTCTGTTAACACTTGGGTCATCCACTCCGATCAGTTTAGGGAATCATAAAATCCTTAGAGTTGAAAGGGATCTCCAACTCCCCTGCAATGAACAGGGACACCACAGCTAGATCCAGTTGCCCAGGGCCTTATCCAGCCTTGCCTTGAAAGTCTTCAGGGATGGGGCATCAACCACATCACTAGGCAACCTGTTCCACCGCCTCAGCACTCTCAATGTAAAATATCTTTTCCTTATATCTAACCTAAACGTACCCTCTTTGAGCTTAAAACCTTTTTTCCCTTATTCTGTCAGCACAGATCCTCCTAAAGAGTCTGTCCCCTTCTTTCAGACCAGAAGCAAAATTCAGACCAGAAGCAAATTCTGGCCAGGGACATTCTTGCTGATATTTCTGCTCTTTCAGCTGAACAAATGACCTTCAGATAGCAGTGCCCCACAGGAAGGGAGAAGGTCTAGGCTTCATCTTTCCAGAATCACAGATCACTGTTGTTAGCTAAACAAATACTTCTCCTCTGCTGGTCCCTGCTCACTAGTATGCAGTCAGTTACCTCCAAGTGGGAACTTATGAAGAAAAGCTGTGCGCAGATAATCCACATTATACCTCCAAATTACCAACTCATCTGCGTGACCCTGAAATTTCCACCGGACTCCCTGAGAACAGATTTGCAGCTGCTGAGGCTCTCACAGCTCCCCCCGCAGGGCTTTGGCTGAGGATTTCAGCCTTGAAATTTAGCATCAGATCTACTCAATATCTACAGGCAGAAAAGAAACCACTTCTCTGTGAAGTTTAGCTGCAAGAAAAGAAGTAACAGGTGCCACTGAAGACCCAGACACTGGACACCCTCACACTGTGGCTCCCAGAGCAACTCTCTGAAGTCTCACCCCTACTAGCCCCAGGCCAGTGCATGTACAGAGTTTCTGCTGAGAGTTAAATCCAGTTTTGCTGAGGTGCCCCTGAGGGCTTGCCACATACCTGACATATTTCCATTTCTGACAACTTTGCCTTGAAGACATTTGTTAACCTCTTGGGTTGTAAAAGACTAAGGTCACCTTTGGGCTAAAAGAAGGGCTTAATGAGATTCCAAAGCAAACCAGAATTTTCCCAAGATACCAGTTTCAGGGAGACAGAATTTATGCTTGCTTTTTTTTTTTTTTTTTCCCCTCCTTTTTTCTTTTTTTTTTTCCTTAGGTCTTTCATCTTTTTTTATATGCTCCTTTCAATCTGCACTGGAAGGCAAAGCATTAAGAAGAGATGAAGAGATGCAGAAGAGGCAGCAGAGCTCTCTTTGTAGGAAAGATGTTGATATAAGCTTTGCAGATTTTAAGGTCAAAAGGGATCTTGTGACCTGCTTGGCTCCCTTCCACATCACACAACTCAGAAAAGGGTGGCCAGTCACTTCTGCACCAAAACTCTGCCTTGGAAGAGTTCCCTGAGCTGCAGTTTATTTAAATAGGTTTCACCCACATGTGAGCAGAGCCATGATCACTGCCCACTGCAAAGGGCTTTCTGCAAGAGTTATCCATCAGCACTAAGAAAACATCTCTGAGCCAGTCTCAGGTGTAGCCAGAATGTTTATTAGCTAATGGCAATGCTTAAACACACAGAGAAGCAGTGCATCCTTCCCTGCAGTCCTAGCAGACAAACACAACCTGGGGCCACTGGAATAGCCTTGTTTGGATTTTAAACTTTCTCTGTCTTCCGTTTGAGAACCAGAGAGTGGACGGACATGGCTGTGCTGTTAGAGAGGCCTAGGGCTTCCCATTTCCCCTCTATAAGCAGATTGTACCTTTGCTTCTTCGTGGATGTTCCACACAAAGGACAGCGCATTGTAGGCCAACTCCTCGATATTCTGAACTGTGTTGAAGTTTTCTTTACAGTCAGCTGAAATGCAATGAAGAAGCAGTTTATACTCTGCCTGCAGAACTGTTTGCATTCCCTGGGCCTTCCTCTCACTGGCTGACCACTGCTTAAACCTTAGCATGCATCTGTAAAGCCAGGAATGACCCAATGTCCTAGCTGGCAACTGCTGTATGTGCAGTGATTTTATACAAAGTCAATGTATATTGGTTCTAAATTCAAACAACCACATGTCCTGCTCTGAGCCATGACATGTTCCAGAAGGTGCTACCCCTAACCCTACCTCTGGCCCTACCCTTTGGCACAGCACAAAGAGCTATAAACCCTGTATGCTAGCAGTGGAGAAGGACAAGCAGAATCAAAGTCTTTCCTAACTTAGATTCCTAGATTCCAAGAGGCCATAGGTCACATCTCTAAGAGCCAAAAGAGTTCAGCAGTTTCTGCTCCTCAGACTGAGGCTCTTTGTTGGTGTATTTTGAGCTCCTTGTGCACATCCAACACTTGGCAAACAACATCTTAAATCCTGAAGGACCGTTCATCAGACAGAAAAGATCTGAAGCCAGCAGATCAGCCTGCTCCCCTCTGCTTCCCCCCAGGCCAGAGTTCTGAGCTGCAACGGTGTTATCGTGTATTGAAAATGCAGTAAACTGATGATAAAGCTGTCAACCCAACCCAGCCATCACCACAGCCATGCTCATACCAACATCAATGACTCTCTGCTTGGCTGTGGGCTGGCGAGAATGCCAGTGCTTCCAGAACTTGAGCTGCTCTGTCGGGATCTTCTCATTGTCAAAAACAATCATCACAACACTCTGTAACACAGTGAGAATATCCCATATCAGTACACAGCGCAGGCTCATGCTTGGTGCCCTCACTGCCCTTTCCATCTGGTGCATCCACACACGGGGCAAGGGCAGCTTAACATCATCGTTAATGTTACATTGCTGGGGAAATTAAGGCAGACAGGGAAGGGACTTGACCATGATCCTGCAGACATGCAGCCACAGAGCCAGAAGCAGAACCAAGGTGCCCTGTATGTCCCCTACTTGCACTATCCATGTGTTTCCACTGACACCAAGGCATGCTGCACTGCGGAGTTGTTAGCAGTGCTGCAGTAAGTATTAGGCTGTGACATTCTAGAAGGTCTCTCGAGACATTCTCAGTTTCAGGAATCCTATAAGCTTTGAGTTGTCCAAAGTCTAGCTCCTAGATACAGCTCAGGGTTGGAGGACTATGTTTCTTTGTGGAAGCTCAAGGTCAGCCATAGCCTTGGGGTGACTGAAGCCTGGCCACACACACCAGAAGCAAGACAGAGCACTTCCCTCCATCCCTGGTCTTCCTACCAGGCCCCTCAGCCAACCACCAACTTGGGAGGCATTTTGTGCATCCCAAACTCAACTGCAAAAAGTATCAGCTGGCACGTTACATGAAGGCTGTTGCTGTGCATCAGAGGATTAGCCTGCTATGAGTGAATCCATTCCATTCATCGCTTTAAGTCAACAAGAGCCACAAAGCCATTACTCTTTATGTTCAGCTGCTTTCCCAGGCCAGTACAATTGCTGAATGTCTGACTATAGCACATGTCAGCAAAATTGTCAGCTTGTCTCTTACCTTCACTTTATTTGAGGACAAGTGTAAACATTTGCTGTCTCCAGCTGTCCGCAGTGTGATGGGGTAGAACTGTCCTTTGTTGAGGTAGGCCATGGGAGAGTCCCCAGATTTTATATGAATGGCTTTGGGCGACCCCAGGGTGTATTCAAAGTCACTTGTATTGAACAAAGAAAGAATGATGAATAAGTACATGCTGCTGTTTCACTTCAAAAGCAAAACAAGGTATGCCTCCAACCTTACAGGTGACAGACACTGCACACACAGAAGTCTCTGCCCTATTCCCATCTCACATCAAATCATAGAGTCCTTAGAGTTGGAAGGGACCTTTAAAGGTCAGCTAGCCCAACTCCTTTGCCATGAACATTTCCCTACAGCTGTGCCAAGCACCTTGAAGCAGAGCACACACTGATCCTCCCAACACCCTGAGGAACAGCACTTTTCCAATAGCCACATTTTACCATTTGTTATTGTTTATGGCTTCAAAAAAGAAAAATAACACACATTGCTTTGACCCATCATTTTGTGTGGATGGCTACAGAAACAGCACACAATCAAAAGCCTGAACCCAAACAAACCAAAACAGGCACTGCCGATGAGACTTTCAAAACCTAAACTCAGATTCCTGTCTCCAAATTGTCTCCTGTCTCACCCCTAAATGGATAATCCAGGAGGACTGTGTTCTAATGGGTCCTGTAGAAACAGGAGGACCTGCAGGATGGGGATATCTCCAATTCCTGTTTAGTCACCTGCTCTTTTTCCTGCTCCGCCTTCCTGTGATGCCATCTCTGAAGACAGACTTGGCAGCTTCTCTTCTCTAGAGCCAGGAGAGCCTTCAGTGTGGGGACAGACAGCAAGCAGAAAGCCTCTGATTCATAAATGCGAGCTGCTGTCTGTGGTAAAACCCCCACAGCTGATAGCTGAGTCACAGAGTCAGGTTGACTCAGGAGGCAAATGAAAGGTGGGAGGTGGGATAATGCCACTTGGAAGTTTGGTGCAATATCAAGAGCAGGAAAGCTCTCTGAGAGAAGGATGGGAAACAGTGAGCTCTCGCATGTTTTAGGAATGAGAGGCAGTAACTTTACAGAAAAACCCTTCCAACACTAATCTTTATTTCAAACACCAAACATAAAATTTGTAACTTCTCTGCGTCTAAAAAATCAGAGAAGAGCAACTTGCTTCTGAGATACAACCTCTCTGCAAAAGATCTTGGAGTTTGCCATGGCTGCTGCGAAGGCCAGTACTGGGGTGGGGAGAGGGCTGCAGCCATTCCCTAAGAAAGGTACACAGCCAAGAGCACTGGAAACACAGAGTGTGGACTGACAGTTACCTCTTAACACCACCTGTAAGATAACTCTCGGAGCAGGGTGGCTCTGGCTGGGGCTTGAGGATATCGCTGAAGAGTAGTGACTGTGGAAAAGTGGAAATGAAACAGTCACATTTAGAATCTTTCACCGCTTTGTCTGTTCACCTTCTCCCACTCATTACAACGGAGGCCTCATTTCAAAGCCTTCTAAAACCAATGTAACACCCCCAATAATTCGGTGGAAATGCCACCAAGCTTTTAATGCACAAGCAAAGTTCCCCCTGACTCCAGCACAAGGAAACCCCAAATAATAGACATTCTTGTGCTGGTACCCCAGCACTGCCACCATGCAACCCACTGCAGCTCTGACCTCCTGAGGATCCTCTTTGAACGTGCTGTCTGGCTGCCACCTCTGCTGTGGTGTGGCCACGGGGTTGGTCTCAAAGAGGGAGTTCAATGAGCTATTGTCGTACAAGTCCCCTGGAGGGACCATGTAGGTGTTTGGGGTGGCATCCAGTTTGCTGGTTCCTGGTGGAAGCATGGCTGGCTTGTGAGGAGTAGGGATGCCTTCAAGACTTAAGCCATTCTTCTTCTGTGGTTCACAATATTCTTGGGTCATGGAAGTGTTTTCAGACAAGAGCTTCATGAGATGGGCTGAGCCGTCAAAGGATGTGATATCTGAGTCATACTCCATTCCGTGGCACTGCCTGGTGGAGAAAGGGGTCCATCTCAAACTAGAGAAGAGGGTGGACCACCCCAGCAAGTTGTCACAGCAAGGTGCAGATGTCCCAGTACACAGTTGAGGAGCACGCTGCACAGTCTAGCTGCTGAGCCAGTTACGTACATCTGCTTGGTATGGGAATCTGACAGGGCCAAGAGAGATCTCCCCTCACTCACACACCTCACAGTGTGAGCCAGAGGTGCTCTGCAGGTAAGAGCTGATCACACAGAATCAGAGAATATGGTTTAGACTTGGTTGGGAGCTCCGGGTCCAGGGCCTATATCCACCATTTCTTGTTATGGGCTATTAAATGTTCAAAGCAGCGGGGAAGATGAAAAAGAGAACTGCTATATGGACAAAAATGCATTCCCATCCCACCCAACAAACCATCTTTCAGTGCAGCATTCCAAGAACTGGTCCCCTCTGCTGGAAGAGGCAGTTTGTTAACCCCATCACCATGATCAGAAAAAAAACCAGCCCCCACACCTTTCGGGGAGATAGAGCTGAATGGGTAGCTCTCACCCACTCTGCTTCAAGACTTTCACCTTTAGGTATGTGCTGGAATCTATGTAGTTCATAAATATACTGCTGTTATAAATATGGGCCAGAAGTCTGTCAGAGAGAAGAAAATAACTTACTAACGAAGAAAGAATGGAGGACCATTTAAGAGGCTTATTCTGTTGAGGATTTAAAAATAGACAACCAGAAAAGGTTGCCAAAGTACACAGCGTCCAGGAAGAGCAACTGAATTCATAGTGGTGAATGAGCTATTAATTTCATAGTTAATTATCTGAAAACCTCAAAGCACAAATGGGATTCACCGGAAGAGAATCCTGGGAGACTGCAAGCAGTCAGAACAGAAACCCTTATGGGCCTGGTGGAGAGGACTTCACCATTACCTTCTCTCTGTGCCTATCCGATTGGCACAATATAGGAAATAAAGATAAAATCTTCAGCTATTGCACATTAGTGCAACTCCTTCTGAACACAGCGAGATGGATCCTCAGTAGTGTAAATGGGTGTAGCTCAATGTATACCTGCTTGGGATTCAGCCTAAAGAATTTTAATACATGTCTCGGTTAATAGCCTCCACTGTTGCTGGTAATAATACTATACTTTGATGTTTGTTTTATGCAAGTGAGGAGACCTAACATGCATGCAAGCAATTGCAGGAAAATGAGACAACTAGAGAGAGCAAAAATGAAGCTCACCTCTTTCCTAGTTCATTACGTCCCATCATACCCGATGGAAGAATCCTCTTCTCCTTTGGGACCTAGAACAAGGCAGAACAAAGAGTTAGTTCGTTGTTAGATTTTATTCACGGAAAACAGAGGCAAATTTCACCCTGTCTGCATGGCACAGATAAAAAAACAGGTGAATAACACTGGGTGAGGATCCAGGAGACCCAGACCCTCCTTCTGGTTCTGGCATAGATTGCCAAGGTAACCAGAGGCTACCCAGCACATCGTGTTCTCGAAACAATTCTGAAAAGCACCCAGGTGAGTGGGAACATCAGTTTGTTGATTCCATTCAGGTCTAAATCCTATCTGCATTTCATGCAGCCCCATCCTAAAGCACTGCTGGAAGTGAGAAAGCTGGAGAGTCTGCAAGGCACCTGGCTGTTTCAGCTTTATGTCTCTCAAAGCATCCCCACTTCTTATCAGAAAGCTGTTATATACAAAGAACCCCATCCTGAGACCCAAGACACTCATGTCAGTTTTCCACCCTGTTCCAGCTTTGTTATATAGAATGAGATCAGTTTACATCTGTGACTGGGGTCAACAGTGGCCCTCTATGGCTGGGTATTTCCTAAGGATCACTGCACAACCAACACAGAGAGCCTGGGGGGGGGGGGTACCCCCTCAGAGGGCTCAGCATGTTTTACCTTCACACTTGTCCTGTGTGACTGACTCCCCCAGGAAACCCAGCCCCAATAGTAACGTACCATATAGTAGTCATAGAGGAGGCTCAGGGCAGCCACACTGTCATCATCTCCATTCACCCTCATCATGGCCTTAGTTGCTGCGGTCAGGGGGTTCTCCAGGTAGGTTTTCCAGGCTTCATCTTCATTAGTGTAGGAGAACTTCTGGAAGTTCATGGTGTCATTCTTCATCAGACGCACAGATCTAAAACTGAGTCAGGCAGAGGGAGTAGGGGATAAAGGATATGGATTTTTCACAGTAACTTCCATGCCACCCAGCTGGAGTCATGAAGGGCTTCTGAAAGGCACTGCTGCAATGGAGGAAGGCCACCTTCCTGTTCCTCAGTTCCCAGTCTGGGCCCCAAAACTCAAGATCTCAATACCAGGGTTACACTGGGGGCTGCATAGAGGGACAGAATTTTCTGTCATTTGTAGGTGATTTCTCTTTGAGGGAAGCAGACGGGCCAATCTCAGCACATTCCCTTCCCCTAAGAAATACCTGTCAGAGCTGAGGCTCATGAAACTATGCGTGCTGAGAAATAATGCACCAAAATACTGTCCCTCCTGTTCTTTTCTGGCACTTTCTCCAGATCTCTCTTTCTGACGTTAACAAGCTGCCAGATATACAGTTATCCAAACACTGGTCACCTTTCCTTCTCCTTCAGCAAATCCTACATGAATACCCCCTGTGGCTCTGCACTGTGGGCTCATCCCACTCAGGGCGGATGAGTCAGTGGCTTCACACTGTTACATCCATGCAGATAAGCTGTTGCTGCAACAGGTCATGGTATTCCCCATAGGAAAACACAACCTCTGTGTCCAAACTTACATTGGTTCCCAGTCTCTCCCACAGCAGCACACACGAGGCCAACAGCTGCCCCGCCATCTCGCGCAGGAGAGGACCTGCTATGGGCACTGCTAACAGCCTGGCACCCAGTTCCTACGGTTGTCAGTGCCCCCATGAAGGCATGGCAGCAGCTCCTGGTTATGGGCAGCCCCCCAGCACTGCTGTAAAAGACATGCTGAGCTCACTACTCTTCCTCACATGCTGGGAAAAGACACCAGCAGAGGTTTTAATCCGTGCATGAAATCTCACCAGGTGCTCTGTGAGTTCTATTGTCTTTAGCGTTTCTCACGCAGCCTTCCCTCCCCATCAGTGCTGCTGCCATCTCCAAGGCGAGCAGTAGGCATGACTCAGATTTCATCGCGTTGGCTTGGCGATAGGCAGACAGTCCTGTCTGGGCAGGACCGCTCACCTGCTCCCAGTCCTATCTTCTCAAGGAAGAATAGGCAGCAACAACACACACTCAGGTGAGATGCAGCTCCTGTTGCTGGTAATCGACAGAGATAAACACGCCATGGGGGGATGTAGCAACAAAGCACCCAGAAGCTTAAAAAAAGAACAGATATCATAAGGAAGAATGCTTCAGAGCATTGTTCTCCCTCGCATAAGCCCTCAACCAGGCCACTCCTGGTCGTGCAGATCCATGAGCCACTGTGAGGTCTTGATCACCTTCCCACACCGTGGGGGAGATGCAGATGGGGCAAGGGCTGAAGATCCTAACTGCTCCCAGCTTATGAAGAATTAAATTTGAGAGGTGCCCCAGGGGCCTACAGCTTTTGTCCACATGTGGCTCTGCTTTGCTGGCCAGCCCAGCCGTGATGCTCGCAGCATCTCCGCCCCAGCCCTGCCTGTCCCACCACGGGCTCCATCGCACCTTTTTGCAAGCACTCTGCTCTGAAGGCTAACAAGGTGAGGCCAAACCTGCAGAAAGAGGGTGATCCAAGGAGATAAGCAGATATGATAACAGGTTTGATGCACCTCTTTGGCACCAGGTGTATCTCAATCCATGCAACTACAGCATACAGTCACATGTGTTCTACACCTACCTCCAACCCAGCATTAGCAATCTCTGTGAAGTAGAGATGCCAGGAAGAAACATCCAAATCCAGATCCAAAAACATACAAACTTTACTTTCATCACTCCTCACGATGCCTCTTCCATGTAGTTGTGCCAAGCTTGTCCACAGCAAACTGCTCTGTTGAGCAAAACAATCTTTCCTTTGCAGGCACTTGCCATAGTGCACAGGCTCAGACAAAGCAGCGATCAGTCAGTAGAACACAAACCCATGGGGCCAGAGCTCTCCTTTCTTGGGAACCTTGGGACTGTGTGCAAAGCAGATTTGGGAGGGGAGCAGTCTGTTTCCAAATAGCTCCTGAGTTTGACACACAGTGATACCAGCCCTTTTTCCCTGCTCCATCCCACTCCATCTCTGTTTTTCCAATTTATCTGCCCAGCCTACCATAACAGAGGCCTCCTGATTATGAATAAACACTCAGGGCCATGCTGAAACAGAAGAATGTACCCAGAGGGTCTGGGTGGGGAGATCAGCTCTGAAAGAAAGAAGCACTCATACTCCTTTCACTTTTTCTTGGTTTTAGTGGGTGGTTTGCCAGTCTTTAAGCTTGGTGTTGCTCATCTTTATTCTCTCCCCTCTAACTGCAACCCAAACATGAGCAGTGCTAGATGCTCTGCAGAAACGTCAAATTGTCCATGGCAACCAGCAGCAGAACTCAGAGTGGCACAGCAGAACCGCTGTAGTACAGCGATACTGCTGGTTCTTAGCCCCGGTTTGGTGCATTGTGCTCACCTCCCTGCTGGGATAGCCCCAGCGTTCCTCAGGGCCCCCTATATTAGCACATGGGAATGGACCAATGCCACGCTTAAGAGCTGGGCAAAAAAAAAGGAGGACTCAGCATAACAGCTATCTCAGGGCAGAGGTTTTACCCATACCTCAGGCCCTCCTACAAAGGAAGGACAGCATCCCTATGTCTAAATCCAAACTTCTGAGCAACATTCTAATTTTTACCCTATCTTTACCAGTTTAATAAATAAGCACATCTGAAAACAGGGCAACAACACAGCTATCTGTAAGCACACTGCCACAGCAAGGCATAGGAGAGGCAGAACCAGAAAAAAAAAAAAAGCCCAGAAATAAACACCTGAAACAATGGCAAGAAATTCTGCCGAAATGCTGTGCATAGCAATGCTGGTCCTGAGGTGCCAGAGCTCCAAGAAAGCTCTGTTCTCAGTACCCAGACCATTGCAGCCACAGGCCCACGTGTTCACTGACAGGGGGAACAAAGACATGGCCCCTCTCACAGGGTTTTCTCAGGCCCAGATCAGCCTCGGGGAGTGCTGATGCTCTCAGCACAGCATCCAACCACCACCAGCCATCCTCAGCTCTGTTGTCTCCCACAGAACTGGGCTGTGCATGAGGCAAGATGACCCTTGCACCCAGCAAAGATCCCACACTGTACTTTACTGCATGTGGGAACCACCAACCAGATGCATGCTGCCTGGGATGAAGAGAGAAAGGGCTGTTGTGAGCACGTTTGACAAATGACTCCTGTTCCCCACAGACTTGATCCTGCTCAGTGAGCACAAAGGCCCAAATCTCTGCTCCCACCTCCCCTGGACCATTCCACACTGGGGATACCGCTGGCACCCTGCTGTACCTAACATCATCCCAGAGGTATCCACCTACACAGCCATATTTCACAAACAAGAGGTGCGTTAGCACCTTTCCTGCCTAACATAACAGATTACGGCACAGAGTTTGTTGGCAGCTCAGGAATTACAGCTACTTTTATCCAAATCTGCGTGTGATATCAGGTGCTTCAGCCCTTGGTTTCAGAGTGATCTGCCTTCAAAGCTGGCTGGAACAGGCTGCCCAGGGGAGTTGTGGAGTCTCCTTCTCTGGAGATATTCAAGACCTGCCTAGACACCTACCTGTGCGACCTGGTGTAGGGAACCTGCTTTGGCAGGGGGGTTAGACTCTATCTTTGGAGGTCCCTTCCAACCCCTGTGATTCTCTGATAATAGAAAACCTTCTAACAAAGAGTGGTTGGGCAATGGCACAGGCTGCCCAGGGAGGCTGTGGGGTCACCAAGGAATGTTCAAGAACTGTGGAGATGTGACACTTGGAGACATGGTCAGTGGGCAGCATTGGTGGTACACGGACAATTGAACTGGATGATCTTAGAGGTCTTTCCCAACCCTAATGATTCTGTAAATGCAGGAACACCACAGCAGGCCTTGAATCAGTGCCTCTGACAGCATCTGCCATTCACCAGCACATCTGAAGCACTTCCCACTCATATTTGCATGGCAGACAGATCAGGACACACCTCATGTATGTGTGTTCAGAACACAAACCATCCTCTCCACCAACACACACACAGAGTTCATTTCTTTTCTACTGCTCTCCAGGTAATTAGTTTTTAACATAATAAACATTTGTGGGTTATGAGGCTCCCGACAGAACAGACCCTGTTTCTGCTCACAGTTCCATTCTTCCCTCATCCCATCCCACCAGAGTCCTGCAGTCAAACACTAGGAGATGGGGCTGTCTCCTCCTTACATTGTTCCATCTGTTCCTCAGTGCTCACTTACAAATGCCATAAGAGCAGAGGTGGCTGTTAATCTCACAGAAGGTTTGCTCTGTCAGTTACACAGCCAGGTCAGTGCTGGAGCCACAGAACCACACAAGTGTGTTGGAGGGACCTCACAACTCCCCCACTCCATGATGCATTTCAAGAAGTGTTTTGCCCTTCAAGTGATTCAGATTGGTTCTTAGGAAAAATTTATTTTCTGAAAGGATGCTCAGGAGCTGGAATGGGCTGCCCAGGGAGGTGGTTGAGTCATCATGCCTGGAGGTGTTCAAGAAACGTTTAGATGTTGTACTGAGGGACATGGTTTAGTGGGGAAATATTGGTAGTAGGTGGACGATTAGACTGGATGATCTTGGAGATATTTTCCAACCTTGGTGATTCTGTGACTCCACAATTCTATGACACAAGTATGATTCATCCCATCCTGGGTGTAAGCATTTCTTGAGAGCAAGCATCTCAGCTCAGATGCTTGGTAAAGACAAAAAACAAAAAGAAACAAAACTTTGGCACCAAGAGCCAAGTGTGTCGGTAAGCAAATCCTGCTCTTTGTCTTTGAATGCTAAAGATTATAAACACTGCAGGGACAAAAAAGTACTCTGGAATCAGGTGCCTCACACCCTGCTGCTCTCACCCATAACCACAGCCACCAGCCAGAACAGCAGCACTGGGAGGGATAACAACAAACATCAGTGCCATCACACTCCCTCATCTCCTGAGCCTCTGAAACTTGCATACTGGCAATGGAGTTGCAGCCAGAACACAATCATACTCTAACTCCACTCACTGCAGTGCTCACAGTGCAGCGCAACTCCAACAAAACAGTTTACATCAACCAACAGTTCCAGTGCCAGACTGAAATGGAGGGAGTGAACTCCCTGTAACTGTATCCATCAGTTGAAACTGTGATCCAAAACAGAGACACCATGTAAATCTTGACTTATGTCTGCTTTGAGTCTCGACTTTATTGGGGGAAGGGGAGGGGGGAGAGGGTGTTACTCCTTTGTTTTGAATTGCACAGCAGTTATCACATCTTTAATTTGCAAATCCCTCTCCATACAACTTATAAAAAAACAACATATCCAACGCACATTTGCCGTAGAAGTGTATTTTGCTTCAGTGCAGTTATCCCTTGTGTGCTTTGCTGCCAGCATTTCATAAAAGGGCTTTAACTTTTCATTCACTAGGAGCATAACTCAAGTTTTAATAACACACCTTATGCATGACAAAAATTTGCTTCTGGCAATCATGGTTTCGACCACAAAACCACAACTGGGAGTAACTCCTGATTAACTCCTTCAAGCCCACGCACTGCAGCGCTAGACGCAAGTTCAATACAGGCGACAATGGAAATTATCAGTCAGAATATTTTAGAATAGGCAAAACATCTCATTCTCTCATGTCACGCTAGTGTCTTCCCAGACCTTTCTGTGAAATTAAAGTCATAAAGAGGAAGATCACAGAATCACTGTTGCAGGGAACCCCCAAAGCCCATCCAGCTCCCCCCCCCACCACGGGCTCCTTCCCCCACCAGGTCAGGCTGCTCAGGGCCCCATCCAGCTTGGTCTCAGGCACCTCCAGGGTGGGTGGGATCCTGGGCAGCCTGACCCAGCGGTTAGCAGCCCTGCCCATGGCTGGGAGAGATGGCTCATCCTGCCGGTTTTATGGCAGCAGCAGTGCACGGGACTACAGCAGGTGCCTGACAGCTCTGCCTGGCATGTCCCACAGCTTGGATCCAGCCTGGGATCCGTTCTGCTATCTGTCCCGCTGTGCTCAGCCTCATGTGAGGGCTGCATTATAAAGCCTTAATTGTGAGAGGCACAAAGACACCCACTGCTGCCCTTCCTGAACCTTTACGTGGTCACAACAGCCTATTCCTCACTGGGGTCTACAGACCTGCCCCCAGGAAACCCTCTCTCCAGCTACGGGCTGGAGACCTCTAAAGGGAGATTTTCACAGAGATCTGTGAAGGTGTCCCTGGGTTCAACCTACAGGAGCCTTTCACCTGTTTTTCACTGTGCTATCTGAGAGAAGATAGCAGCAACCCTTGCGTGTTATCAGTCCTTGAAACTGAATGACAAAGGGATGCTGTCTCTGCCAGCCCCCCCCTTCCTAAGTGAAAGGCCCAGGGGTTAACAGTCCGTTAGAAAAAGGAGTCAAACAACCATGTAATTCATGGGTCACATCATGCCCCGCTCCATAATTACTGATACATCAATCTCAGTCTGCAATGTGCTCATGCACTCAGGATTAAGCACACGGCCTGACTTGAAGCCCCAACACAGTGACTACAGATCACCTGAAGAGTTCGGAAGGTGAAAATTTGTCACTGATTCTTAACCGACCCCCGAGTGTAAGGATCCCAGTATTTACATTAAACAACAATTAGCTCTGCACATTTTCAGGGCTCTTACTTAGGAAGAGATCAGCTGTCACAATGCCTCTGTCAGGTCTGTAAAAACACACACACCTCTGTGCATTTCTTTCAAAACAACCTTCTGAAGTGCCATATCTGTACACAGATATGCCCATGTATGTGTATATACTTTAAATATATCTTGTTGTACCTATATTTCTAGATATGCTTTATTACACATACATATTTCACACAGGGCTACACATCTGGGCAGCTCTGGAAGGCTGCACCAACAATAGCATTCACTGATTTTCTGCATCAGTTTTCAGCATCACATCACACTGATGTCACGCTGCTTAGTTTTGTTACAGAGATGTGGAATGCAGGGGGGCAACGCACAGCCGTCAGCATCCACAGACACACACATAGAGGATAGAGAGTTAAAGGGGATCAACAAAAAGTGCATTTTCTTGTTTTTGAAAAATACGCGTCAAAACAAGTTTGTACAGTCAACTACAGTTATTTGATGGAATAATGTGAAGCCATTTACCTTAACATGCTGTCCCACCCCCAAAAAATAAAGTAAAAAAAAGAAAACAAAAAATTGTTAAATAATTTATACATTTTTTCTACTAAAAAGAAAAGCACAAAACAACACATGGAAAAGCATGGGATGGCTGTAGATTGTGTTAGATGGCAGATTTTCCCTAGATAGACCTGATGTGTCACATTTTATCCCAGGGGGAAAAAAAATAAATAAACCAGGATTGGGGTTTAAAAACCTGCTAAATAACACCAGTGGAGTGGAACCTCCTCAGGGCAGCAGCAGACTGGGGGGGAGTAGAACATCCCACAGACATCCTAATCCTGCTGGAGGGGATTCCCTGAGAGCTCCCTGAGACCCGCAGTCCTTCAATCAGCCCCATATGCAGGGAGCCGGAATGACAAAAAACACTCTACTTACTCGAGTTCATTGGACATCCTTCCTTGCGTTCCCAAATCCTTGCAAACGGTAAAACCCCTGATGACTTCTCTCGTCTAGGACCTGCTGCACACAGACATTGCCTGCAAAGTGTTTGATTTATGTTGAGGTTTTGCAGGCAGGCATGTTGCTGACAGCAGCCCGAGGTCAGCGCCCATTGGCTGCCGACACAGGTGCGGTGGGACAGGTACACCCAGACAGGTGCAGCTGTAACCCTGTGTGCGCCAGCACGGCACTGCAGGAGGAGGAGGGAGAAGCCCTGGGGGCAGACGGGGCGATAAAGAAAGGAGTGGGTTTGGTTATTCATCTCCATGATAATTAGTTTCAGTTTGGCGGACATGTTCCATGTACCACAATGCCAAGAAGCTGTCATTTTTATGGATCTGGTTGATTTCTCTTCGGCTGTTTCTTTATAGATATATATACAGGAATAAACCAGGGAAGAAGAAAACATCTTCATTTTGTCTCATTCCTAAACGGTAGTTGCACCTATAGACCTCTCCTTCCTTTTCTTCCCTTCCCTGAGCTGCTCCTTCCAGGAAGTCTATGCAGGATGGTGTGCTTTTATCTTAAAACAGCAGTTTATAGGAACCCAACTGTGAGATGCCACAACATGCAATGAGGACACTGACTCAGAAGATCTCTACCATTATGCTGAGCGCATAAAGACTGGGATGTGGGATAACCCCTCTGTATGGCCCACACAGCTCTGCCACGCTCCTCTGCAGGAATACCACCCGGGCAATGACTCTGGAGCAACTCACCTGCAAAGGGTGAGCAGGTTTATGCAATAGAACAAAACTCATCATGGATTCAAGCACTCCTGTTGGATGGTTTCTGTCATCCGTGTTGCAACGAGAGGCAAAGGATGGGCTCAGTGGTGACTCATGTTGACTGGATTTGAAAGGCAGAAGAGGATTTTACGAGACAAGTTGGTGCAAGCCTTTAGACAAAGGGAAAAAGAAAGGCTTCCACCACTCTTTCCCATGCCCCATCACTCCATCCCACTGAATCTGCCCCACTCGGTGCCCTGCACCAGCAGATGGATACAGAAGGGGAAAGAGCTGCTGAGCTCTCAGCCAGGTGGCCAGTGGCCTTCCCAGTCCACTCAAGCAGGCAAAGGGCATGTCCACACAGGCAGATGTGGAAACAGCACATTACTCTGAGTACAACACCCTTTAAACACAGCCACACGGTGCATGGCCATGTGCTGGCTCTGGATCAGGACCAGAACGGTCACAGCCCATCCTCTGAGAGTGAAACCAAGGGCCTGGAGAGCACCTACTGCCAGAGCTGGGGACAGGGGAGGAGGGCAATGCTGAAAAATCAGTGGAGTGAAGGCTGGAATCAGAATCAATGCCATGACAGGGGCCATACCGTGTGAGAGCACAAAAAAGGAGAGAATTTCCAGCCAAGAAAAGCACTAATCTTAGGCAGTAGTGGCCTTAAGTGATCAGTACTCTGATTATACCTCCAAATTAAGGAATCCTTGCCCTGGGCATTGCAACCGGAGTGGGAGTGCTGGGAACTTGCCCTTCCCAGGGGTCCAGCCAGAGGGAAAGTACTGTCTCTGGGCAGCACAGCAGGGAGCTGCATCCCTTCAGGGCATTTCCAATCCCTTCTGAATTTTAGAGAGCCTTACTAGATTCCAGCAACAAAAGTGAAGGAGGGGAAAACATTAGCAGAGCCAGACCATGCTGGTGAATGGCAGGGCACAGGATTCTGACCTTCCTAAGAAAAAGCTAAGCTGAAGAGAGGGAGAAATGCATGTGACAAAGCTGACACACTTTCCCTTAGAGAAAGGCTCCCAGCACTTCTATGGATAGATCCAATCCCCGTCTGGATGGAAAGGTTTTGATGTCCAGACTCTGCTGATGGCTTAATAGTGGGGCTGATGTTGTCTGCTGCTCTGTGACAGGGGATAGCTAGGGAAATTTGCAAACACTCCCCTTCCCTCCACAATTCATGTGTGCCTACTGCAGCACCAAGGAACCCCGCAGCCTTCAGGAGTTACAAGGCCTCACTAAAACCGCTCACATCAGAAAACAGCCCTTTAGTGACAGCCCTGCACATGTCCCTATGGCAGCACTGGTGGGCTCTGCTCTCCCTGGTACCTTCCTGGGGCTGAATAAATCCTAGCTTCCCACAGCCAGGATCCTCCAAGCCATAATGATGCCAGAGGACCAGGACTCTTCTGCATGCCACAGGGGATGCAGGGACCACCACCCTCACCCTGCCACATCCCTTCCCCAGGGTGCCTCTGTCTTTTCTCCGATAATGCAAGTTGCACAGTGCCCACGAGGCCTCTGGGCCCAAATACCCAGACAATTCTTTTGACTATGATTTTAGTATTTTTAATTATTTTTTCTCTCTTTTTTTTTTTGTCTATACTCCACCCTCTAAGAGTATCTGGTGAGGGGGTGGGATAGAAGAAAAAGACCAAGAGATACATTCCCTGTGCATAGAACCCTCCTACTTCCCTTCCACTCCCCTGTTAAATATACCTTGGAACAAAAGCTCTTTATTATGCTCTAAAAATAAAGCATGCAGCAGTCAAGACAAACTGCAAAGATTAAAAGACAGGGCCAAATTCTGCTCACAGCTACACCCTCTCTAAGGGAACAGGGTTGCATTTGTGTTTGGATTGTTAAACCCTCTTTAAACATCCAGGGGCAAACTGTGATTAGCTGCATTTCGTTACCAGTAGATCAGCATGTGACTAAGGACAACATCACTCACTGGCCCCCAGTTCTCACCCCCCATTGACACTGCTGCCCTGTGACCAGGCCACCCTGGTGCTCCCGCTTCATCTTCAGCCACTGATCTGGCACTTCAAACCCCCTATTCCCAGCTTGGTTTCTTTTCCATGTAACCTGAAAGTAACTTCAAAGCAAGGGCTCTTACAGAGTCATAGAAGCACAGCATGGCTGGGTTGGAGGTGACTCCAAAGCCCCCCAGCCCCACCCTTGCTATAGGCTGGCTGTCCCCACCAGCTTAGGCTGCCTATCCATGGCCTCAGGCACCTCCAGGGATAGCGCACCCAGAGATCTGGGCAGCAGTGCCAGCACCTCACTGCCCTCCGGGGAGAGAATTTCCACCTGACATCCAACCTGCATCTTCCCTCTTTTAGGTTAAATCTATTCCTCCTTGCCCTGTTACTGTCTGCCTTGTAAAAAGTCACATTCCCTCCTGTTTTAAGGTCCCTTTAGGTACTGGAGTCCTTTAGCACACAGGGCTTTCCCCCTGAGAGCTGTCAAACATCCCTCCTCATTGCCCTGCAGTGTGCCAGGTATTTCAGCTGTGGCTCAACCAAGGGTTATCAACACACTTCAGCAATTAATACACAGTAAGTGGAAGCAGCCTGAAGCAGGTTAAAACAAGTTGTTCTGCAAAGGGAGATGTGGCTGCTTCAGGTGCTTTTCAGCAAAAACACTGCTTGCAACACACAAATTTTAAGAAACTTTTGAAACCTAAAGCAGGCACTGCTATTCAGTGACACCCCTACCTCCAAGAGCCCTTTCCTTGGAAGCAGAACAAAAAGCTGAATGGGCATCATACACAACACAACAGAGTGATTCTTTGTGGCTGCTGTTGTGCTACTGTCATAGCAATAATGATGAAAAGAAAAAAAAGAATTTGCTCTGAAGTGAGCAAGAGAGATGGACCCCACAGTAACCCTCCCCAGTGGCTATGCTCAGCCAGTGCCTGGGGGGCTACAAGGTCTACTGGGTCCTGGTACCACTAAGCAGCCCAACTCAATGCTAAATCATCCTTTTAACAGAGCCAGGCCTGTTTATTATTACCTGTTGTAGCCCACAGGGCGATAGGAAAATTCCTGTCATCTTTATCTAGTTCTACCTGTTCTTACACAGTAAGAAGTTTGGGTTGCAAACAACTGATCCAACCAACAGTCCTTGGGGCAGCACCTTCAGCTGAAAAGAACAAAAACAGCCCACAGCTTCTCTCTGTGGAAGGAGCTTCACTTTCTCACTAACTAGAAGGATTGAAGTGCTTGGGAAATTTCTGAAATGGACCAGATACAAAACATCAAGTATTACTCCCAACCATTCCTCCTACTGAGGCATTCTGATCGGTTCTGCTCCCCTCAAGAAATTACCTTCCACCTGTCAGTGAGGATACAGCAGAGATGGGTCCAGACTCAGATACCTCAGCTGACCCTACTCATCATCAGTCAGCCCTCTATGAGCACATGCAGGGAAACATCACTAGCAGAAGCTGCTCAGAAGAAATAGCCCCCATCAGCCAGTGGTTAACCCCAGCAGAAGGGACTGGGCTCAGGTTCAGCCTCCAGCTGCAGCCCCAAGGGTTTGCACCCCACTGTCTGCACAGCCACGCAGCTGCAGAGATGCAAGCTCTGGCTGCAGCCCAAGCATAGCACAGAAATGGATTTCATCCAGTGAATTCCTAACTAGTGAATAAAAAAGGAAATACGAATGAATATCAGTCAGCCCTAGTGGACCATAATGAATCTGCTTATGGAGCCTAGAAAGACTTATTTACATGACTGTTTCTTTTCTGTAATGAATTAGAAAAGCTCAGGCTGGAAATCTGTAACTACGCGCAACATCTGTAACTCATAACGTCTTGGGGAGGTTGTGAACTTTGATGGTTTCATCACAAATCTGCTTACACTTGTAGTGCTGTTACCAGTTCATTTGTTGCCTTTTTAAACCTTGACTTCCTGTAATTATGCAATCATATTAAAGTTTTGTCTAAATAAAAATTCGTCCTTCAGGATTTTTGCAATATGCCGCAAAACAAAACCTCAGTAGGCTTATGAATGGAGAGAGAGACATGAAAATAACCCCCTTATACACACAAATCAGTCCTGTGGTTGGCAGGACCATGGCTGGTGATGCTGGAGCTGGTCAGCATTGGAATCTGACCAGTGACAGGAAAAAGAGGGATGGCATAAACAAGAAGAAGGGAGGTTTAGCTTAGATGTTAGGAAGAAATGTTTTGCTCAGAGGGCAGTGAGACCTTGGCACTGCTGCCCAGAGAGGTTGGGGGTGCGCAAACCCTGGAGGCGCCCAAGACCATGGAAAAGGTCCTGGGCACACTG